TTTTTTAGATAGATATCCAGCTGATGAGGAGAGAGCAGCGTCTGTGATGGTTCGCATGCGTCTGAATAGCTCACAGAACGATCTCATATGGGAGGTCAAGGATAGCGACCACGAGAGCCCCAAAGATTAAGGGGTGGGACATGATCGAGAAGGACTTCGCCGAAGCTAAAGTAACGGCAGAAGATGCCGTAGATATAAGGAAGTGGAGACGATCGACAAGAAGACCGGACCCTGCGACGGTGGGATCAAAGTTAGGGAGAACAAGAAGAATTGTAGTTGAACTCACATGGATGTGTGAATTTCAGTGCAACTTCCTGACTTGCGACTGGCTTGCCTTTGCATTTCAGGATTCCTGGAAAAGGCGTATTTGACAGTGTAGCCCCTGCCAAAATAGTTGGTAGGCATACCAGACAACGTGTATTTCGCATGTCGAGATGAAGCTACATCGAAGAGGCAAATGAGGAGAATAGAGCTGAAAAGCATGATTCTGCGCGATTTCTGAGTTTGAGGGGTTCCCGAAGTTTGAATTGGTAGGTTTCGCATAAATTAGAAGGTCTATATTATGCGATCTGGGAAGGTTCTGCATATCAATGGTGCATTTGCCTATATAAGTGACGACGGTTTATGAAAGCATGAAATACATTCATGTGTAAAATTTTGACGAACTAGAAGAATAAAAGCAAGAAAAACCATCTAAAAGGGACAGCATAAGAAAGGGGAAAAAAGTAAGAGCGTGGCTTGTGGCGTGAAGCCATCCCGTTTCCGTTCGCGATCTGCTTTCGACTTCCATTCAGAATCGTAGTGTCGTATTGAATGTGTGTGTGGCCTATACAATGAGCTGCGGTGTCCATCCGATGTACAATTCAGTGTCCGGCCCCGCAGGAATTAAAGGCTTCGTTAGCCTAGGCGACTGCCGATCTGAGCTTCGATCTCTGGACCATACGTGCGTGGTAGTGCGCCATCGGCCACCACATCAATTCCACATTGACATAAGAAATAGAAGGAATAAAAGCTCGGGAGCGCGACGGATCTGATCTGATTGTCTTATGTAGCATTACCAAAAGCTGGAAGAAGTAAGGGGTGTTTAGGCAATATTCACGTGCACCAGCGGATGTCATACTTTTCTTTGTGCCGTAACACTCTATATTAACTGCACTATATCGTCATTATGGAATCTCTTTCTTAGAATAGCGAGCTCCAATAGGAAGCTGAAAGGAGTACGTAAATTCCGTCACGTTTACTTGCAGAACCATGTCTCCTACATTCTTCTACCCCGAAGAGGTCGGCCTTGTTAATCGGGCCCTCCTGGCTCACTGGTTACCCTGATCCCTAGTCGTTTCGTATAAATTGGAAGCTGTTTCACCTGCTCATCCTCACCTCAAGGATGAGTTTCGAATGCTGGTTCCAGAGAAAATTCAAAAATGTTTTCAAAACTATCGTGTTATGGAGAAGGGTGTGAAAACTACCCTTGCGAAGTGAACTGCATGAAAGGAGAAATACACAGTTGGAATCAGCATAAAAAGCTTCACACAAACGTGCATAAAATGTATGAGAATCTTTTACAAAAATTTTTTGCAGATTTGTTTACCAGTCCCTCGATTTCAACATGGCGATTGCTTTTTTCCAGCCCACCGATGCCACAGATCAAAACAATCGATTCTAGGCTTACGTTCGCGAAGATCTGAAGATCAAAGGCAAACCAGTTTTGAAGTATAAACAATGATTAAGAATGGTATGACTGGTACTCCTAATGCTAGTTTCAATTATGAAGTCCGTTTCTTGAAGTGCTAATTTGGTAAGGTGGAAAATAAAATTTTCTTCCAAGCAATGCATCATGAAAGGATGGCCACATACTCGCAGTCAGTTTGAAAAACAATGTTGAAAAATATATGAACTGCTTGAAAATCCTGATGAAATCTCCCTTAAATTTTTCTGCCGATTCCTCGATTTAGAATGGCTGACTGCCGTTTTTCCAGCCCATCGATGTCGCAGATTGGGAAGCCGAACCTGCTTGCATACCCGACGATCTGAAGACCAAGTATAAAACATTTTTGGAATTTTAAACATAATTAGTAACTGACTGACTGGAGTGCTCATTACCGACCCAATTCGGTGAATCTGGTTCACTTACAAGCGCATCTATGACTATATGAGGAAAATGACATAGAGAAAGTAGGGAACGATTCTGTTGATGGGCTCCAGCCAACAGATAGGCCGACTGAAGTAAAAAAGTGAACGGACCTTAGGCTTCATCCGCTAGATTCAAAACAGACCTTAAGAGCCTAAGGGGGAAGTTCGTGGAAGCTCGACGTCAACACTGACCTGATTTTGCAATGCATTGTAGAATACATTATCGAACAATTTTTTTTCTAGAAGGTTGATTTAGTGGTTAATAGGACTTATCTTGTTGAGGGAAGGCGTTATGGCAAGTGCCGCACTATCACATTACCCTTATTCTGAAGTTCCAGTCCAGGATCGATACTAGCCCATTCCAACCAAGTCTTTCGTCATTCCGGAGCTGGTCATTAGCAACAGATTCATCACGTACATTGGCTGGCTAACCAGGTCACTGTCTGAGCTACGTACGCTACAAAAGCCACCTAGAATTCGGAGTAAAATCAAATGACGGGGCGTATCCTCAAAAGAGATTGTTCAACGCTGAAGGCTTTATCCTCTAACGCAGTGGAAGAGTCATGTCCCCGTATCATTCAGTAGATTCGGTGCAATGAACTATGTGTTGTGTGTTTCATTTACTCACCGATTTCCACCTTAGCCATACGTTCAGGTTCGTTTGCTACCATTTACTACACCTGAACAGTCCATGAACAAGACCTCAACTAAAATTCTAGCGTATTTGAACTGCTCCAACATTCATTCGAAGGTTCGGGCCCCTGACGCATTCCTTCGTTAAGTCCTTTCCTAGGGTCTACGACAAAAGACCACATCGCTGCTGAAGGGCATGGCAGCTTCTCGGTAGACCCTTGTAATCAGAAGGTCTCTTAACTGTTCGTGCAATTCATTAGCCCGTGTGCCACAGCTAAAGAACTGCTATCATAACTTGTGGATGTGCGTTACTATCGGTTTTCGTGAAAATTCAGCCAGCACATCGGGCATATAGAGAAAACCAGGTGAGGTAGGGTTGTCATGCGTCTTGTGGAGAGAATTGGGCCCCGAATGCTCACCAACTGTCTCTCATGGGACGTCAACACCGTCAACTGAGCGATTTGTGCTCCTCACACTTCGTGGATCGAGGGGAAGCATTTCCGAGAGTGATCCATTGAGCTAATGAATCGAACTCAAAGTAATCGTTGATGAAAATCTGAATGATCCTTGATATTAAAGGATAAAGACCTGATACTACCCAGGTTAGTGCTTTGATAAGATTTCGGTTGCATAAACAAGAATCAATATATATCTTATGCGTGTGCCCCAGAATTGTTTCTGAGTGACATGAACACTGACATGAGAGAACCGAATAGAAGGATGCTTTCAGGACTGCTTTCGCTATATGAGTATCTACGTCCTACCCATCTCAGAACCTCAAATAAGACGACTTTATTTCCGAAACCTATCAACAACGGACGTTGTGGTCAAGGTTCTCTTCTGGTTTTCACGCTTGACATCTTAGAAGGATTACCACTCTAAATCCAGGGTTGTAGTTGTAGTTATTTCAGCTGGTGAGCACGAAGCCTCATGTTCTCGAGCTGGCTAGGAATCGCCTACGTCTAGAACCTGATTCGTACCTTTTCATCGAAGCCAAATTCTCGTATGCAAATCTCGGCATTTGTGATGTGAGTTTGGTAGCCACGACAGAAAATTACCATAAAAGGTGTTCCAAGAGATCTACCTCGCGGTAGAAGCAGCCGCAGGAGAAGCCAGGGCATGCTCGCTCCTGTCCGACCGTGCCCTCTCAGTGGGACTACATGGGTGATGTGATAAGCTCCCTCACCCATCACCACTGACTGATATTAGGGCCACACTGTCTCGGACAAGTTCGTCCATGCATCTGGAACCATTTCAAAGAGCTCTTCCTCGGCCAGTGACCCAGTTTGTCGAGAGCTTCGGGAATGCACCCATATGCTTGCTCAGTACTTTCACAAGCACTAGAAGACTGTTCCGTTCCAGGTCGGTCCCACGAAACTAATCGGATATGCGATGCCTGTGTATTCTCATACTTTGCCTGCGATTAGGTAGGTCGCCTACCGGGAACGTTCTTCTGTCCACTTTGATGGGATCCTTACAGTAAGTGGTTCGATACCGATGGATCGGAGACGAATAAACAGCTTGCGTTTGAAATGCAAGTCATCTTCAGTAACAATGTTTTCTCAGCTCGTGATGTGAGTCGCCCCTCCTTTCACCTGAATCCTACTGGTTGAAGATGGGAAACTTCAGCGTTAAAACTATTCAAGGATCCTTCTTCCAGATAATAATCGATCTGCCTGGTACGGCTTGTCTGGTAGATTCTGTTCCACGTTCGATTCCATCGTTGAATGGCAATTCACCTGTCGATGAAGTTGATGCAGGTTAGCATCGTTGTCGAAATAATGCGAAAAATAGCGTCTTCAGCGGAAACAAAGCATTAGTTAGAGATTGCATCGAACAGAGTTATGGCTTACCCACCACCGTGAAGCTTCAAAGCATTGAAGTTGGGCTGATCGAGCACCACCTGAGGTGGCAGCACGCAGTGACCTAATTTCTTGGCGGAGGCCGCCTTGGCGCCTCCTGACCCTCAACCGAATGTCCTTCTTCGCAAGCTGAAGTATGAACTGCGTTGCGCTCACCGTAACTGCTATCCTTATAAATCAATTGGAAGTTTAGGGAACATACACGAAATACCACTTTATTTACAAATAAGACGATTTTCAGATACAAAAACTGCTGTGACGTTTACAATGAATAGGGATATTGTCTGCAATCTTTGTAATACTGAAGAACGTAAAGGGTATTTTTGAGACCACTTTTGTTGGAAATAGATCAACCTCGTTGTTTTTTTCTACTATTTCTAGTTCCTGGATCAGAGATCTGATCAATTCACCTTATAATCCATTCAGTGCAAGCAGATCTAACAGTCAGGTACGCTGGTATCATTTCGTCCGCCGATTCAATTCTTTACTACGTCTCAATTTCTTATTTACGAGTTTACTATACTTCATAAAAGTTTAGCAAACCAGTGAAACTTTACAAAAATTTTATACTTCATATTAAAATTTTATAAAAAATGTAAAACATAGAACAGCAGGTAAGTAATTATCGACCAATCAAATCAGGACCTAGGTAGCCGTCTGGCTTTATACTTTGCTGATAGGGTCAAAATGAGGCTGCCGCGCGCCGCCACCGCCCGCCGTCGCTTCGCGAATGCCGCAATGTCATGTATGGGTATATACAAGTCAGACGCGTCGAAGTGGATAAGTCCTGTCAACTTTGTTTTCCTTATTTCGAGTTGTCATGTTCTGACTTGTTGAGGACAACGTCAGCACTTAAGAACCGTTCCGATGAGTAGATAAACTTGCATGCCGTCTCTTTCGAACCTAACGGCACACTTTAGTTTTGTTATCTTTTCCATAACTTCTATTGTCAGTAGTGTTCTCATTACTGTTTCAAAATGTGTAAAGTTGTGGGTAATATGTTCATGGCTACATACAGTAGTGCTCAAAAGTCTTCGGTGAAATGCTTTGACGCTTTTTTGTTCATAACTTTTTTCTTAGTAGACGAAATCGCGCAAAATTTGGATATGTTCAACAAGAATATATTTCACTCCACCCAACACTGTTTGATTGCAAAGCTGCAATATCCACCATAGAGCAAGGGGTTTATTCCGGAAGCAGATTTTGCTAAATATAAAGTTGTTGACGTCTGCACTTATTCGCACCTTATGTGCGTTTTTCATTAGGCGTTACCGATCGTACACTTTAGACACGACAAGAACGAAAGAGATTCTAGAAGGACCATCATCTGTATTTTCAGTCTATTTTGAGTTCAAGCCCTTTGGGATATTTGGAATATGATCAGATTGCAGGCTAATGGTGGCAAATATTCACAACACATCCACCCTCCAAATATAGAAATTTCGCATGATTAGATCCAGTAGGAAGGGAGTTACGACTGAGATGTTCGGCTGAAGAGCCATTTCACCGAAGACTTTTGAGCGCTACTGTAGATACCTACTGAGTTGAGGCAAGATTTGAAGTCGCATCTATGCATTCACCCTTTTTTAATCGAGGATTACTCGATTGATGGAAATGTTATTTATTGCTTAAATCTAGTAATTATAACTGCTCAAATATATACTTTTTGATACCTATGCGTTTTACAGTTTAGTTAATTGAATTTCGTACTTCAGCAGTCAACAATGCGAACTGCTAGGCTCAATACAGGATCAAGCTTGTGAGTTATTGGAGTGGGCAATTTTACCCAAACTCAGAACTCAGGAAATCGGAAGTTTTCAGTTCCTCGTATACGGCGATTGAGAATCTGAATATTGAACAGGAAGCTACACCATGTGGAGGGAATTAATAGACTATTGTTGAAACAAAGTAAAATTGTAGCATTATTTGTTCATGAATACCTATTGGCACCGTCCCAAGTGCAGGGTCATCGCGTGTATGGTCCATAGATTCGACCTGGGTCGAATCTTGCTCGAGCCCATTATGCATAAATCGCAGAACAGTGCCACCAAGGGTTCTGCGAGGAACGCCTAATGCATGGCGCATTCCATAGCGAAATGATCCCCCGCAACGCACTGCACTTCACGGAGTGAACATAAAACTCTTGTTTTAGCTCGAATTCTGCTCTAACACACAGCCCGATCTTCTGTCGGACATTTTCGCTCACTCGCTTACTTACCCCTTTCTTCACCACCATCTCGGAAGACGAGCAGTAGGAACAGTTTTGTGTAATCGATCCGCCGCACGCGGCTGTCGCGAACCATTTG